GTTGCATAGGGTGGCTTTTTAAACACAAAGGGTCTAATTGTTTTGTTATTTTGTTCTGACACCCCCTCAAAATTTTTATGAATTGCATAATTCACATGGGCACAGTAGGTATGGTACGATAATAAATTGTAGTTCGGCGCAGTGATACGTCCAACATTTCTTAGTGATGCTCGCCAGTGACTTGAACAGACGTAATAATTTGGATGCTTTATTTTTTCCTCAGATGCTATGTGACTTTGTGCAGTGATGCAGTGATGCATGTGACTTTGTGCAGTGATACAGTGATGCATGTGACTTTGTGCAGTGATGCAGTGATGCATGTCACTTTATGCAGTGATGCAGTAATGCATGTCACTTTCTGACTTTGCCATGCTTGTATACTTTGTGACTTTTTTCCTTACGTTACGTGATGCATGTGACTTTGTGCAACGCAACTTACATGCTTTGTTTTTTCCTTACATTTCAGAATTCATCTAAGTCACATTAATACGACCACATGGCAATAGTGTTGATAAACAATTATGTGATGGACTGAAGGAGTGGAGTGTAATTTACCGAATATAAAAAGAAGCAGAAAATGCAAAGAGGAGAAAATGGGATGACTGTGAAGTTCATTAAGTGAAAATAAGATAAAATATAGGCAGCAAAGTTCCAATCGTGTTTACATATCAGGTGACCATTTTATTATTTTGGTGAAAAAAACAACGATAGTTTTGCAGGTCGAAGTGAGTTAGACGGTTGTGTATTTACTTGCACTCTGTTTCGTAGTTGTTTATGAACAATGTTACTTTAAAACATAGAAAATTAAAGCCGTTGTTTCATTTTATGATTTCATTTATAATTTTTTGAAAACACCAATTTGTACTGAAATCGTGAATTCCAAGTGACTACTTACTGTATTAAAAAAATAAGCATGAAAAAATAGTTTCATGTGGCGATGTGACAACTCACTGCATTTTGTTTTATTTGACAATTGTGATCCTCTGGCCTACAATTATGATTTTATCTGACAACTGTGACTACATCACAGGTACACAAAGTCACGGGTACTCAGGATTACATGAAATGAATAACATAAAATAATATCACGGGTATCACTTCTTCCATAGTGCCCCAGCATGCATTATCGTCACTAGATCATCTCTAGTTAACCCCCACTATGATGTCTATAAATAGCGATACATCCAGTATGATGTTTATTCAAGTCATAACAATAGTAATATATCTACAATTACTATTATTATTTGTTTGTTTATTTTATGAACAATGTCTTCAAGAGGTGCAGGAAGTTCACGCCGGCAAAGAAATCTGAAAGTGTGGCTGCTACCTCCATTTACTTATGATTACAAGAGCGAAAAGTACTCGAGTCCGAAGGATTATTATGCTGGTATTCGAGCAGAATGGGCGTTCAGGGTAACGGAGCAAGAAGGATTGTTTAATGATCTATGTAACTTTGGGGCACCGGTACCTCATTGTCGTTCATTGACCATGGCTAGATGAAATGTGAGTGACTATGAAAAAGCAGTTAGCAGAATTAAGAAGGAGAACAACAAAATGTTGATGCGGAGATGTCGACATTTCATGCTGCAGCTAGCCACCGAAATGGCAGAAGAAAGCAACAGAGATTTGATAGGGATTGAGCGAAATAATGTTTTAAACAATGAAAAATATCTCTCTGACTACTACATGTCAGATGAGGAATGAGAAATCAAGCACCTTTATCTTTCATATATGTTTGTATGTTGTGTCGTATCTTCGTTACTGGAGTGTAAGACAATGTTGTTGTTCATTTAACATACGGATGTATTTCAAGTATTTGTTTTATGAACCTGAAGTTTATGAAATAACTACATTTATGACTACACATTTATTAGTTCATGACTTTCTTTATTGAATTGCAATGAGTTAATGAATGTTCTGGATTAATGAATGGATTAATGTATGTTGAATTATGTGAATACTTAAAACACATAAAACAGAATAGGTAGCTCGGTGAAAAGCTTCCCTTAACTGGAGCTCGTGAAATAGGGATCCTCTACGTAAAGAATTTCAATCTCCATCAGAAAAGAAGAAAGAGTCGCCTTCCAATTCCTGTAAGTCCAATCAAAATGATGACTCTGGTAAGGAATGGGGGGTTAACAGAAAACTAAACTTCAGGGGCTGGACAAACAAGCTCAAAGCCAAGTGGTTGGTCCAGTTGGGGAACTAATAAAGTTCAGACAAACGAACTACCGCCTTCAACAACACATAAAACAGAATAGGTAGCTCGGTGAAAAGCTTCCCTTAACTAGGGCTCGTGAAATAGGGATCCTCTACGTAAAGAATTTCAATCTCCATTACGAAAGAAGAAAGAGTCGCCTTCCAATTCCTGGAAGTCCAGTCAAAATGATGACTCTGGTAAGGAATGAGGGGTTGACAGAAAACTAAACTTCGGGACTGGACAAACAAGCTCAAAGCCAAGTAGTTGGTCCAGTTGGGGGACTAATAAAGTTCAGACAAACGAACTACCGCCTTCAACAACACATAAAACAAAACAGGTAGCTCGGTGAAAAGCTTCCCTTAATTAGGGCTCGTGAAATAGGGATCCTCTACGTAAAGAATTTCAATCTCTATCAGGAAAGAAGAAAGAGTCGCCTTCCAATTTCTGGAAGTCCAGTCGAAATGATGACTCTGGTAAGGAATGGGGGGTTGACAGAAAACTAAACTTCGGGGGTTGGACAAACGAGCTCAAAGCCAAGTGGTTGGTCTAGTTGGGGGACTAATAAAGTTCAGACAAACGAACTACCGCCTTTAACAACACATAAAACAGAACAGGTAGCTTGGTGAAAAGCTTCCCTTAACTGGGGCTCGTGAAATAGGGATCCTCGACGTAAAGAATTTCAATCTCTATCAGGAAAGAAGAAAGAGTCGCCTTCTAATTCCTGGAAGTTCAGTCAAAATGATAACTCTGGTAAGGAATGGGGGGTTGACAAAAAACTAACTTCGGGGGCTGGACAAACAAGCTCAAAGCCAAGTGGTTGGTCCAGTTGGGGAACTAAGTTTAAAACCTAATTGGTTTTACTTGATTTGCTTGTGAAAATCACTATTTACAATTAATTATACCCAAACAGATTGTTTTCTGCACCTTTTTGAAGAAATTGACGATTCTCTTAGTATAAAATAGCAATCAATGCAAGGCCAAAAATGTAAGAAACTAGACTTGTAACTAGTTCTAATGACGCTGATTTGATATTTTTCGGATTT